GGGGATGGTGGGTGACAATGTAGCAATTATCTTCTGAAGTTATAAGTAAAGCATATTCTCTTCAAACTGCTCTGAACATGGTTTCAGAGGTACAATAACTACCTGGTGCCTCATTGTTATTCTGGTCTTGTTCCTGCACATCATCCTGGATGTTAAGGGTCTCGATACAAGGCAACTGGATGGGTGCCAGGGTCACGGGGATGTGGGCAGGGCTTGGTTCAGGGGTCACATTCTCTGTGCCTGCCCCCTGGTCTGGTCCACACACAGAGGTGCAAGCCTTCACCAAGGACTGAAAAGAAGACAACAGTGTTAATTGGTGCTGCATATGGAGCTAGTCTTGTCACAATGAATGCAAACAGGCTGACGGGTAACAAGAGTGGAACGTAGCTGTTTCACTAATACTTTTGTTCCCAAGTTAGTGTCACTTATTACTGTCACAAAAACATTAGAAAATTGATCTGTATTGTATTCTAATCTGGATGTCTTATGCTGCCCTGAAAGTGTATTATTCTACTTACTGGTATTCTCACACCATTGTGTGTACACTGGGTGTTGGTCTCTAGGATCTCTCTCTCCTTTACCATAATACTACACCAGACTCGGTGCCCAAACCTCACACCATCATGCTGGAGGCGCCAGTGAGACTGGTAATTGCCTGGAATGATTATCAAGGAAATCATAAAACAGGTTATTTCAACAACCATCTAGTTTTCTTTGCATATGCATAACAAGTTTTCATAAAAGGCAAAGTACTGGATGCCACTGTCCATTTTAAAATTGGCTGACAGTAAGGAATAAGTGTCAAGACATCCAAGGCCTTCAACAGTTCTACTAACCTGGGGTTTCAGGTGCAACAAGTTCCACTGTGAGCAGCCCTTCTTCCCCAGGCTGTACTGGAGGCACTGCCACTTCAGAGCTTACAGCTGGGATGCTGCCCCAAATTAAAAACAGCTGAAACGAAGATACAAAATATTTTTATTGTTGATATTATCAAAAGACACATAATATGATGTAACCTACAATGGCCTATTCCAATCTATATAATATTATACTCATTACACTAACACAAAAGATCCACTCTAAGTGTCTCAGAAAACTCACATGCCCTGCAAAAATCTTGGTTAAAGGTCTTTTAAAAAGCTGCAGATTCTCCATATTATTACCTTGGTGTTGCGAGTCCAGCTCCCATTCCCTGTGTTCTTGACTTTCCACTTCTTCACAAACTTGGTCCCTGGAGACAGAATGGTGTCATCAGGGATGGTCTCATCACTCACAAACTGGCAGTCCATTTTGCTGAAATCAGAAACATAAAGAAACATAGATAATGCTCATCATATTGCTCCTGTTTGGAGTAAAAAAGGCAAATGATACATTAGTATCAAGTGCGTTTTTACAAACACCAAATAAAACATGTATAAAATGATGTGCACCTTTTTTTTTATGATATCATCATCCAATCAGAAACTAACCTTCCAATGGCAGACTGTTATAAAAAATATATGAAAATTCAAAACTACTGAGATGTCTGACACATTGTGGTATCATAAGGTCAAATGCTTTCACAGTTTATAACAGAAGTTAGCAATTAATGAAAATGTTAAAATTATGGACTTACAACTGTCTTCTGAACTGAGGTAAATCCAGGCGTTCGCGTTTACAAGCAGACTCTCTTTCCTCTGGCACGTCACTTCCACGATGCATGCGTTCAACACGCCTCTTGCGTTTCTGCAGACGTCGAAGCTCCTTTTGTTTGAATTTTTCCAATCTTTTGGCAAGTCTTGAACTTCTCAACCTGAATTAAGAAAACAAATTTGTCCTGACTAACTTAACTTTATGTGACTTATTATATTAAGCTTATAAGAAAGACTATCTAATGAATATTAGGAACGATGACATACCCTAATCAAAGTCGTATTTAATAGTCCTCATCTCATTTCATCTTAAAATACTGTCAAGTCAATATGCAACTAATCAGAAATGTTTACAAACTGTTCACTTTCATCTGATAGTGATGAGTCAACATCCCATGCTACACAGAGTTAAATATAGTAATGCAATCTAAGGACAGCAATAAATCATTAAAATAGCATGCCACACTGCTACTGATATAAGAGAATTACTATTTATCTGTTTAATTATTAACAAGATGCTGTCATTTCATTCTCCTAACTAGAGGATCAGAGAGGCGATACCGCCTCTGGATATTGTACCACCAGCTGGAGTAAGCACATTCGTAAGGACACCCCCCCCAAAAAAAATAATAAAAAAAAATTGGACACCACCACCAGTCTTGTGCTTGACAAGCTCTATAAAATGCAATAAACAAGAGTTCNTATACGCTGGTGGTACTAATGACTCGCATGTGGGTAACAACTTCCTATTTTTGTTTACTAACTTTACTTTGAGAATTACCCCCAAAAAAATTAATTAGAAAAAATGTGCTCAGTATTTACATCAGTTGCCCTATTTCACTTATTTTTTGCAGTGTCCTTTAAGGAACTAAGAGAAAGACCATCACCATGTTAGATTTTGCTGTCCCTTTATGCAGCAAGTAAGCAACATAGACTTTTCACCATTAATCACTTTTAGTCATGTATGTATTATGACCATAAATATCTCACATCTGGTCAAAAGGAACCAGTGCCAGTACACACTACCAGAACAATAATAGACCAGAAACTTATGTAACATAGGCAGGTTTGGTCTTATATCCTATCACATCCACTAAAGTTGGGCACAAGAAAGGTTGGTCTTATACAGATGTCTATTTTATGTTGGCCACCATTAATGTACCACCAGAATGCAAACTACAAGTATATTGTCCCCACAACCACTTCCTCTCCCAGCCTCTGCCACATAGAAATGTTAATTACTACTAGTTCTCATAAACTAAAAGACAAACATGAGCCTGGATTTTTGGGGAAAAAAATATTTATCATGGCAGTTACGCTTATCGACCTCGAATCCGGGACTACATGAAGAACTGAATTAAAAATCACAGAACTCCACAATTTCTCAGTAATAAGGTCTTGGCTGAAAAGACTTTTGTGTTACGTCATGTAGTCTCCACTGGAATGGGTCTGATTTTTATGGTCACTTTGTGCACTAACACTTACCTGGGCCTGATGCTCTCAAAAGCACTCAGCACTGTGGTGAGGTCTTCTTCTCCTTCTCCTTCATCTCCTCCCATGGGAAAGTGGCTCACTCCTGAAAGTATGTACACACAGTGTGTAGTAATAGCTACAACATAACCAACTAATCTGAATATTAAATGAAACTTTCAAATTTGCACAAGATAATTTTTACATAGCTTTTAAAGTGACCATTTTTCAACTTGGATGTCAAAAAAAATAAATGCACCACTGAATATTTTTCAAATAACTGGCTTCAGTAACACATGCATGTACAAATGCATGCACGCACACACAAGGATCATGGCACAGTACTAACTACTAAGTCTTTCAAATAACTCAGCTTTTGTGTCATGGTAAAAGTTCACAATTCCTGAGGCAGACAATCAATGCAAGAAGTTGGATATAAACACTCAGTGCTATATGTATGCTTTTTAAAGTGAACACCTGGTATACCTGACTGGGTGTCCTGCTGTTCAGAATCTGTAGTGTTCTGGTCTCCCTGCTTCAAGGTACGCTTTACCTGGTTCATTACTCTACGAGTTACTTTACGGGTCACTTCTGTAACCACTGCATTCTTGAACTAAATCAAAAGAAGTAACACATTAACTCACTTTACCAACTTTTAATTTACAAATTGTGCTTTCTCATCGTTTTTTCACTCAAAATGAAACAGAGGAAAGCATCAAGGACTTTCATTTTCAATTTATCCAATATGACAAATTAACATATAGCAAGAAAAATTCACAACAACCTCTTTCAACTTCATTTCAAAGCAGCACAGCAATTGAATCACGAGGTTTTGTTACCATTTTCATGTATCCATGGAACCAGGCTGGGGGTTGTTGGTCTCCTGGCTCCCCAGGGAAGAACCTAGGAGACCCAGGGGCCTGCAACGGCACTGAGCAAGTGGCATCTTCAGAGTCTGACTCAGAGGCTGTCATTGGTTTCTTGGCAGCTTTGGCAATCACACTGTCATCACATATTTTTCCAACTTCTGCGGCTAAGCCATCATAGTGGTCCCGAAATTTGCGCTTTTTCTTACGAATCTGGAATTCAACAAAATAAATAAACTGCATTATGGGTCTGGAATTTGTTTTTGATTGATTTTGGAATCACAAAATAAAACTGAGTAATTTTTTATGCTAATATTTCAAAACCTTTATTTTTCTGATCAATTATGATTTTGGAAACACAAAATAAAACTGAGTAATTTTTTATGCTAATATTTCAAAACCTTTATTTTTCTGATCAATTATAACCTACCCTGTCATGATTTAGGTCCATCTCCGTCTGAGTGCTGGATTCTTCCATCACTACGCTCTTTGCAGAACTAGCATAGAAAAAGGAACACAACATTAAAACACCTGGCCCTCATTGCACATATTATGAAACAATCCATGTTCTCTAACAATACTAAAAGTGATAAGAAAATTATCAAGTCTTAAAAAGAAGTCTTAAAGATATCTTTTTGTAAATAAAATAAACCAAAAATGAAAACACAAAGTTTCCCTTTGTGAGCTTCTAGGTTTGGGCAAGTTTAAATTTTTCTTTTTTGTGTGCGTTTTCACATTTTAAAAAATTTTTGTATAAGTACTTATTCACAAATCTTATAAACTTTTTTGAAAAAAAAAAAAAAAAGACGCGATTGAAAATATGTTAACTGATTTCAGTTTGGTAATTGAAAACAAGTTTTTATTTTCTATCGAACTATGGTTTTGGCTAAAAATGGTGTGCAAGAAAATAGCTCTTTTCTGAAAACTTGCCTCTAGCCCATCTGTTCTTATTTTACACAAAGAAAACCAGATACAAAAATATGCACACCTACATGATTTGTTGTTCCTAAATACTATAATTACCTGCTAGCTTCTAAAGGTTCTTGGTCAGGCTGGATGGTCTGTTGAGAAGCTTTCTTTCCATCTTTAATAATTTCCATTTTCATCTGCAAGATGTCCTCTTCTTTCTGTGCCACCTTGATAAAACAAACACCAACTCTGTTATTGCTTCACTTTTTAGGAACTGGACAAAAAGTCTTGATTTTCTTCATCTTTCATTTTTAAGCAAATAAATTTTCTTTGGTAACACTGCAGAATTCATCCTAGGAATTCATAACATAAATATTACAACTTTTTACAAGCGCTTAACCATATTGTTGTTACTTTAGTTTACAAAAGATCTGCTAATGATGGATACCTTCAAGGCTTCGTGCAATTCCTCTTGACTGTCAATATGTACCTGAAATAATCAAATTTCTCCAAGTGATAATAATTTTCTTTGTGATAACACGGGAGACAACAGCTCCTCATCTTTGAAAATATATCAATCAATAAAATATGTCAATTTTTCAAAGATAACAAACTATTCTGATACCATACTTTATCAGTTATCCAATGACAGAAGCACTATAGTTTTTAAACTGTTTTTATGTGTGACTAGAATATTTCACCTCTTCTTTCTCCTCATCCAAGTAGGTTAACTTAATGGCATCATCTCCTGCTACATCATAATACTTTCTCAGCTAAAATGAAATAAAAAAGAGCAGTAAAATGTTAATTCTTATTTCAACTTTTTGGGTAAATAAACTATTCACATAGCTTGAATAACTGTATGCATACTACTAATTTCAGTGAAGCTGAATGTGAACATAAAAGCAATGTCTGTTGCTGGGCTTATAAGAAATCATCCCTTATAAAAAATATATAAACAGATTAGGCTTTTACAAACACTACCCCCAGATTTTTTAGCACTAATACCCATATTAAACACATAATTAACAAATTAACCAGCACCACCAGAGTGGATGAATGTTAGTGCTAGGTATCACTTAGTTGGTGCTAAATAATTGTACGGTGTGTTGGTTAATTTGTGGATTTTGTGGTTAATATGGGCATTAGTGCTTAAAGATATGTAGTGTTAGGCCGCATTCTCAACGAATTGAGCCAGGCTTTACAAATCCTGAGAACTAAAAATGGTGGACATACATGAAAGAAAAACCACCTAATCTTTTAATAGTCTCTCTGCCTCTCACACGCCTCCCCACACGTCGTCCCTGCAGGGTACAGTAATTAAATCTCGGCTCCGTTCGCCATGCGGAAGCTACCTGAGAAATATTAAGTGCGCATGCTCATCAGTTAAACTCATGGTGAAGAAAGCATGGCGGCTGAAGGCGATCAAAGGAAAAAAGCTCTTCTGTTCTATTATCTTTCAAAACAGAGACGAAAAAGGAATGAATTGGCCCGTAGAGCAGCAATGAATCGACTATCTATGGAGATAATATCACCAGAGATATTCACGGAGATATTCATGTTCAGAGCCGAGATTTAATTACTGTACCCCGCAGGGACGACGTGTGGGGAGGCGTGTGAGAGGCGGAGAGACTATTAAAAGATTAGGCAGTTTTTCTTTCATGTACGTCCGCCATTTTTAGTTCTCAGGATTTGTAAAGCCTGGCTCAATTCGTTGAGAATGCGGTCTTAGTAAACAAATTATCCGTTTATAAGGCTTGGAATTGCAATCAAATAGTTCCCTTGTTCAATCTTATTTACTGTATGTTGAAACTTTAAGAATATTCCAATATCGTGACATATATGAAGAACGAAAACCTGCGAGTGTTATTTTTTCGAAAGCTATCGAGGTCCTCTTTTCCAAGATCATTGCCCGAGCCCAAGTTTGATTCTACAGCCTTGCTCTTAAGCTTCACTCTACAACGTTCTTTTAAATAATAATAATTAATATTATTATGACACAAAACTTCATGACAAAAGTAAAATCTATACTGGCCAATTTACAACTACCGTACTACGTTGAAAGAAAACTGAAACGATCGGTCCCTTTAATTAACCGAGACATTGTTGACGCCATCATGACATGACCTTTTTTCGACATTGCAGATCTAACGATTGTAACAGCAAGCCATCAGATCAAGTTAAGACAAAACGGAGTGAAATATGCAAACCTCGTCCCGAATTTCGTCCAATTTAACACTATATCGATGAGGAAATATCTTCGGAAATTCGCAAAATTGAGCCTCAGGTGGAAGCCCTACTCTTGTAACGTTTACTACGAAACCTCCAAACTCTTCCATGTTTTCACTCAGTATCACTTGAACTGTGTCAGAATGTCATCATACATAGCATGCGATGACTACGAAGCAGCAAGATGTACAGTCAGCAAAACTGCGAAAATTGTTTGCAAACAAAGATGGCGATGGACAATGACGTCAAAGTTATTGACAAATCTATATATAGGTTATGATGGCTCCAAGACAAGCTAGTATTGCATAAGATATCATTTCTCTGACATTGATACTGCGATATTATACGTATTTTTACACTAATTTTTTTAATGTAGATATTCTGCTGCATGCAAGTGTTTGAAAACTTTAACGTTTAAGCGGCAACATGCATCTTGCTGAGTAACTTTGCGTGCCGTGAAGTGCTGCGATCTATTGGCAGGAAAAAAGACTAAAGCTAGAATTACCGAATTACTGTTACAAACTACTACGGTTGCTTTAATTGTTTGAAAACTACATTATTTCCGTACTTTTCATTTAAATGTGGCGTCTTTCATCAAGTTTTGGACGATGGTAGGGCAAATCAATAAATAAAACGCGAAACAAAATTCTATAGACTTTGCTAATCTTGTAGTGGACGAAGCATTAAAATTTCATTCGTAAAAAATACAACTTCAAAAACACTTCTTTTTAACTTACGTGTACTGTCCCTTTTTACCTTTTCTTCGTTTTGTTACCAGTCACTTTAGGCGTCATATGACATCACTTTTATCACCGTAAAAAACATGCAGGTGCAAAATATCAAAAGAATAAACATCTTTTTTAGTGAGATCATTTATTACAGATATGTCCTGATCACTTTTGCTCACAACAAAGCATCTCCTGCTGCCTCTGGCAACACAACAGCAAGAGAGCAAAACATCAAGACACTGAAAACATTCCCATCATCATCATTCCTACCACCTTTGTAAAAAGTCTTGGGGAAAATCATGAATTTAATTCCTTCAGTGAAACATGCCATGCTGATCATGTAAAATACAAATCGTCAATTGATATAAAAAACAAATTGTGATGTATTATACCACCACCATTGCTCCAATATATATCAATAATTACTTAAATTTTAACAATAATCTTTTTTTAACAAACTGGAGATGTGACTTAAGGATTTTCCTTCACTCTCAAAAAGCACCCAATCAAAAAATCAAAACTCATCACACTAATCACAGAAGCTACAAGATATCTACTGCTATCAAAAACAACTTGCACTCCCTAAATTATCTAACCTCTATCAAATATTTGTATAAACAACTGTCATGTTCAAATTATCAAAACAATCAGATCTAAAACATGAAACTGAATTGGAAATAACAA